AGAATTTGATAAGAAGCATGGTGAGTATTTTACAGATCTCATAGATTGCCAAAGTTTTTGGAAAATGAAGAAAGAAAACAAAAACATATTTTTCTTTTCTTTTTTTATATTTCAAAACCGTGTGAGAAAAAATTAGATCTGCAAAATACTCATCATGCCTCTTTTTAAATTCCTTGGGGTGTCTACTTTCCAGAAATGGGTCATTTGGGGGGGTTTGGGGCTATCCTGGCATGTCAGGGCCTTCGAAACTGTGATAGCTATTGAGGAAGTGAAATGAGGAAGTTACGCACCTTCAGGCTTTCAAAGTGGTCATTGGATTTCAGGCTCCTGTATGTGGCTAGGCTTCCAAAAAGTCTCACACACGTGGTATCCCCATACTCGGTAGAAGTAGCATAATGTATTTTGGGGTGTAATTCCACATAGACTCATGGCTTGTGTGAGAAATAAATAAAATAATTTAAGTGACAAAAAATTTTTGTAATTTCCCAAAAACTTGTGGAAAAAAACAAAATCTTCCATGGACTCAATATGCCTCTCAGCAGATAGCTTAGGGTATCTACTTTCCGAAAATGGGTCATTTGGGGGTGTTTGTACTATTCTGGTATTTTAGCACCTCAAGAAATGTCATGAGCTGTCAGAAAGTAAAAGCTGTGTAAATTCCATTATCTATACCATAGTTTGTAGACACTATAACTTTCACACAAAGCAATAAATATACACTTCTTGGGATTTTTTTTAACCAAAAACATGTAGCCGAATACATTTTGGCCTACATTTATGATGAAATTTGAGTTTTTTGGATTTTTTGTGACAGAAGTGTGAAAATATTGCTTTTTTTTCCAAAAAACATTTAAAAAAAAAGAAAAAATTCTCACTTTTTTTTTTGTTTATAGTGCCAAAAATAAAAAGCGCACAGGTGATCAAATACCACCAAAAGAAAGCTCTATTTGTGTGAAAAAAGGATGTAAATTTCATTTGGGTGCAGTGTTGCATGACCGCGCAATTGTTAAAGTAACGCAGCGCTGTATTGCCAAAAAATGGCCTGGTCAGGAAGGGGGATACATCCTCAGGAGGGCAAGTGGTTAAAGACCACCTTCAGGAATTAAAAAAATGGACCCTTGCACCACCCTTCACACCACAAGGGTTAAAGGGGTCATAAACAATACATTTTTTGTAATAACAAATGGTTCTTTTTTAATAACAAACCTGTTGTACTTACCTGCTTTGTGCAATGGTATTGCCAGAGTGGCCCTGAACCTCCTCTTCTGGGGTGCTCTTTGCTCCTCCTTTGTGTGCATGCTCTGCATTAAGGTAAAAAACTTCAATGCTCCGCTCCACCCCCACAGCTCATCATGTCCGTAAAATCCAAGTGGAGGGCAAGTGGTTAATCCCGAACACACAATAATTCCGCAGGTTCTGTGGCTGATTAAGGTGGTAATTAAACTCAGCGCCTTATCTGCAATAAATTAGCTTCAGAACCTGTGGAATTCATATGTGTTCGGGTTTAAAGGGACGAGGTGGCAACCCTAACATGTCTTTTGGCACACTGACTTATGAAGGTCGGTGTTCCCTGTGACTTTGCGCTGCCGTCAGTTTCAAAACTAGCCTGCAAACTTTTTTTGTAGCTCCAAATGCTCTTCAAGTTGTTTTTTTTTTTTTTTATCAGAATCTGTGGCAATATGCTGACGGACAAACTATGCAGGAAGAGGAAGTAGAGGATGTTAGGAGCATTTAGCGGATCAGCAGGTTGAAGTTCTGCGCGCTTTGTAATCACAACTTCTCAGTGTGCTGTATGGGAAGTTTCATATCAGGTGGTGTCCGCTGGAGGGCGCAGTACCTCTTCGGAGATGCTGGGGGGCGGCAGCACTCCGGCAGTGAAGGGGTGTACGGACGGGCATGCTTTCACTTCCCCTCAGTCAGGCTTCTCTCCGCCTCGTTCTCGCGATAAGAGCCGGGCGGATCCATCATGGCGGAAGGTAAAGAATTGGGCCCTGCGGGGATACAGTGGGCAGGTGTAGGGGGGTCGGGCAGTAGATGTGGTCGGGATGGACTTGTTCTCATAGGAGTGTGCTGGGTGGGGAGGACATGGATGTGTCATTTACATGGGATCGGTGTACACAGCTGCATGTATGTGAGAGGGGGCACTCTGATCCCACCTAGTACACAACACATCTACGAACGACTGGCCTGGAGCTCTCCCCATCCATTCCACTGACATGCTGCATTCTCCTCATTCACTCACATCTCCTCCATAGGTTCAGTCTGCTGCGTTTGTTAGAACAGTCCCTGGTGAGCCTGACACAAGGAGCCCTGTCCAGGTGACAACACTCAGTACACAGCACGATCTGACGTTGTCACCCTTAGGAAACCTTCCCTGAGTCATGCCATACTTGCCAGGGATGGCTGTATACATGGAGATCAGCAGCACTGAGTATAAAAAGGTGAAATCCAGTATTTAATTAAAAACATTTCGTGTGATACCCAGCACTTTAGCAAACTGACTTATTTCAGGTACTTATATAGCGCCATCGATTTATGCAGCACTTTACATATATATTGTACATTCACATCAGTCCCTAACCCTCAAGGGGTGTACAATCTTAAGTCCCCGTCTCACATTCATACATACACATACTAGGGACAATTCACCTACCAGCATGTCTTTGGAGTGTGGGAGTACCCGAAGGAAACCCATGCAGGCACAGGGAGAACATGCAAACTCCAGGCAGGTGGTTCCATGGTTGGGATTCGAACCAACAACCCGAGTACTGCCAGGCGGAAGTTCTAACCATTTAGCCCACCAATTAAAGTGTTCATAAAAACCCTTGCGATGCTGACCCATCTAACTTCTGTGGTGTCACATGCAGGGTGACAGTGTACTGTGAGGTTGAAGTGTTACTAAACCCACAACAGTAAAATCAGTCTATATACTGTGGCCCTCCAGCTGTTGGTGAACTACAATTCCCAGCATGCCTCTGCCTTTGGGAATCATGCTGGTAACTGTCAGTTTTGCAATGCCTCATGGGACTTGTAGTTTTACAACAGCTGGAGGGCTACAGTTGCCCACCCCTGCAGTAAAGCGTGCTTGTTCTGCTCACTGTGGACCTAAGGGGTTAATCCTCTGCATAGGGTTTGCCACCTGATCCCTTTAAACTCAAACACACAATAATTCCACAGGTTCTGTAGCTGATTAAGGTGGTAATTAAACTCAGCCTTATCTGCAATACATTAGCCTCAGAACCTGTGGAATTCATGTGTGTTTGGGTTTAAAGTGGGCACCACAGTGGTTAGCACTTCCACCTGCAGTACTAGGGTCGTAGGGTCAAATCCCAACCATGGCACCACCTGACTGGAGTTTGCATGTTCTCCCTGTGCCTGTGTGGGTTTCCTCCAGGTCCTCTGGTTTCCTCCCACACTGCAAAGACATGCTGGTAGGTTAATTGGATCCTGTCTAAATTGTCCCTAGTATGTGTATGTATGAATGTGAGTTAGGGCCTTTAGATTGTACACCCCTTGAGGGTTAGGGACTGATGTGAATGTACAATATATATGTAAAATGTTGGCGCTATATAAGTACCTGTAATAAATAAAGGGATGAGGTGGCAACCCTACCAATGTATTGTGTAAAAAGCCTGTTTGATCCTGATCCTCCCCTTCTTCTACTGTCCCCAATTTATCTGCTGATAGCCCTAGGAGTCACTCTGCACATGCTCAGTTTGGTGTGTATTGCTAGAGAGGTTTTATTTTTCTTGGTAGAGTGAATGTGATCAGCACAGGGCCAATCAGCACTGTACAGAGAGAAGTTAGGGGTTCTGAATCCTAGAGCAAAATGAAAATTCCTCCTACAAGCTTTAACCAGTGCTCTGCTGGACACTGATAATAGCGTTGCATAGAGCAGCCCAAAACCACCTCGGGTCCCCCTGCCAGAGCTGTCCAGTCCTCGTCTGTGTCTGCTCCCATATAATCCACTTGCTATGGGGGCACCTATGCAGGCTCGATCCTGAGCTGTGCTGTGTGCATCTGTAGACGCACATACCAGGGCTTCAGCCACACCCCCCTGCTGAGAAGATGAAGGGAGGAGGATGGGGCTGCAGACTGGACAGTGTTGGATTGAGAGAAAAGATTCCTAGCTAACAGGTGGGAAGCCTCGCTTTCGTCATTCACTGCATGCGCTGCTAGTAATACGGAGTCATGTCAGAGCTTACTGAGCTTCAAAGAGGGCAAATTGTTGGTGCCGCTTAGCTGGGGCCTCAGTGACTGAAGTTGCTAATTTATTACATTTTTCCCAGGATGGATAATATGAAGGGTTGACTTTTTTTTAGGGAGAGGTGTCTGGGACTTTTAAAAATGAAAAGGGCTTTATGGCACCTTAATCATTTCATGTTTTTAATTTTTTTGCTAGAAAATTACTTAGAACTCCTAAACATTTCTTTTTTTGAAGCAGATACCCTAGAAAATAAGTTGGTGGCTGTTGCAATGTTTTATATCACACGGTATTTGCACAATAGTTTTTCAAACACAATTTTTTTTTATGCAAACACAATACATAACCCAATTTTGTTAAAATATAAAAGATGATTTTACTCCCAAGTAAATAGATACTAAACATGCTTTAACCGCCTCCCGCCCGCCATATAGTCCAGTGAACGGGCGCAAGGTGGTTCTCTCGTTCTGGGAGGACATCATATGACGTTCTTCCAGTCTCACCGCGCGCATGCGCGGCTCAGGGAGCGCGCAGCACATGACCCTGAGCCATGTCCCTCGAACACAGCAGATCACTGATCTATGGAAAGAGCCGAAGATGTCGGCTCGGTCATGTGATCAGCTGTGTCCAATCACAGCTGATCACATGTAAACAGGGAAATGTCGGTTATCGGCATTTCTCTCCTCTCGAGCTGTCACGCTGACAGCTCGAGAGGAGAGGAGAGCCGGTAATCGGCGTTCTGCGGAGGGGACATGTATGATCATCAGGGCACTGATGATCAGTGTGGCCCCAGAAGTGCCACCAGTCAGTGTCCATCAGTGCCAGCTGTCAGTGCTAAACAGTGCCACGTGCCAGTGCCCATTAATGCCACATATCAGTGCCTACCAATGCACATCAATGCCACATATCAGTGGCCATCTGAGCTGCCTTTCAGTGTCACCCATCAGTGCCAGTCAGTGCCACCTATCAGTGCCGCCTATCAGTGCCAGTCAGTACCGCCTATCAGTGTGCATCAGTGCCGCCTAACAGTGCCAGTGCCGCCCATCAGTGCTGCCTTTCAGTGCCATCAGTGATGCCTGTCAATGCTCATCAGTGCCACCTATCAGTGTCCATCAGTGCAGCCTCATTAGCACACATCAGTGAAGGGGAGAAATCACTTATTTACAAAATTTTATAACAAAAACTAAGAACAAACGTATTTTTTTTCAATATTTTCAGCGGTTTTTTGTTTAAGAAAAAATAAAAATCCCAGAGGTGATTAAATACCACCAAAATAAAGCTCTATCTGTCACAAAAAAAATGATAAAAATTTCATATGGGTACAGTGTTGCATGACCGCACAATTGTCATTCAAAAAGCGACAGCGAAATTGGCCTGGGCAGGAAGGGGGCATAAGTGCCCTGTAGTCAAGTGGTTAAAACAAGCTAATCATTTATGAAATTATTAATTAAATGTAAACAGCCCTTGTGACAGCCATAGGTAGTGACAGGTACTTTTAGGGAGAGATCTGAGATTAGTAATGCAGGCCATAGACGGGCCGAACATCAGACGATTTTTTCGAAAGAAAAAAAAAACGAAAAGTCGTACGTTCAGCTGACGTTACCACCAACGGTAAAAAAAATCGGCCGACAAAATCATAAAGTTCACCCCATAACTTCTGTCCCTTGCAGGTCACGGTCATGCGCGAATCTTTTATCGGTAAAATGATCGGCCGATTGGCAAAATCGTCTGCAAATTTTCCAACATGACAGATAAAAGAAAACTGCAAAAAAAAACCAAAAACCGGACGACAAATGAACCCAGATTTTTCGGCCGATTTCTCGACCCCTCTATGGCCGGCATAAGACCTCAGATCCCTCCTCTGTCCTTTAAAGCATTTGGTCACACCAAGATCGGTGTGCTCAGGTGTTTTACAGTTTTTAAAATGGCGCCGTTTCCATCCAGGCAAGTGATGTATTGCTCATCGATTACTGTTTCCTAATATCATTAGAGGTGGACAAAGCAGTTCTGGTCTTTGTCCGCCTCTATGATAAGCTGGCAGAACCGCTAGCTGATCATCCAGGTGTCCAGATTTGACAGGTTCTGTCTCTCCTCCCAGTGGATGGGACTTGGACGGTACAAGACTGCAGATAAGAATAACTGAGTTATAACAGCAAAAATAAATAAAAATGTAAATAAAACGAAAAATATATAATTATCTGCACATAACAATCAGTACCAACAAAAATATATATTAAAACATTTTAAATAAAAATATATATATATCTGCAGATAACAAAAATTAGATTAGAACTGCAAATATAAAAAAAAAAATATCAAAATAAATACAAATATAAATAAAAACAAATATATTTTATAAAAATAAAAATTAAATAATAAATATAAAATGAAAATAATTAAAATAAATACATACTGCAGATAACAATGAGATAATAGACCGCATTAATGGGAAAAAAAATTTTTTTTTTAAATATGTATAAATTTGTGTGTGTATATGTGTGGGTGTGTGTGTGTGTGTGTGTGTATATATATATATATATATATATATATATATATATATATATATATATATATATATATATATATATATATATATTTTTATGCAGATAACCGTAATCAGATAACTGCAACAATAGATATATAAATAAATAAAAATTAATATAAATACTCAACAGTCCTGCCCCACGCTGCCCATTTGTGGTGTTCGCCACCAGTCAGAGCCAGGTGTTCTCTGCATGGCTGCCCGGCTCAGATTGCACAATTTACCCTCTTTGAAGCTCAGTAATTACTAGCAGTGCACAAAGTGAATGTCGAAAGTGAACATTGGCACCTGTTAGCTAGGTGGCTCATCACACAGCGGAAGTAAAAGAATATTACATCACATTCCGCTTTCAACTTGAAACATGTTGTCACTTTCACACCTGCAAATTATGTAGTGTTTTCTATTTTTTTTTTCTAACCCTAGTTAAACCAATAGAAAAAAACAAACCAATAGAAAACCTCCATATACATAATTTTATACCCACAGATGATGCAGAGGAAGGCAAAAAGAAAAAACATGGCCACACTAGCTCCAGCAGGGAAAAAAATGTCTTCATGATCATAATCGGGTATTTCCTGGATCAACTATACCTGGTGTTGTCACCCATATATATTAACCACTTGCCCTCCTGAGGGTTTACCCCCCTTCCTGACCAGACCATTTTTGCATTACAGTGCTGCGTTACTTTAACTGACAATTGCACGGTCATGCAATGCTGCACCCAAATAAAATTTACTTCCTTTTTTTTCCCCACAAATTGAGCTTTCTTTCAGTGGTATTTGATCACCTCTGTGTTTTTTATTTTTTGCGCTATAAAAAAAACCCGACAATTTTGAGGAAAAAAAACTTTTTTTTTTTTACTTTTTGCTATTTAAACATGTCCAGCAAAAAATGTAAAAATCAAATTTTGTCATAAATTTAGGCTAAAAGGTATTTTGCTACGTGTCTTTGCTAAAAAAAAAATCCCAATTTGTGTAAATTAATTGGTTTATGTGAAAGTTATAGCGTTTACAAATGGTGGTATATATACTGAGATTTTTTAATTTTTTAAAATTTCTACTAGTAATGGCGGCGATCAGTGACTTATAGCAAGACACTGGGGGGAACTGACTTGGTGTCACTGACATCCCCAGTGACACCTTTACAGTGATCAGGGCTAAAAAAAAAAAAAGCAATGACACTGTACTATTGGAACCGAGCAGGAAGGGGTTAACATGAGGGGCAGTCAAAGGGTTAACTGTGTTCTGGGATTGTTTTACTAGGTTGGCGGTGTCAGTGTGCTTCACTGTAATCACACTGCTTTGGATGGCTGTGCATAGCCATCCAAAACAGTGTGCCCAAGCTGACAGGGAGGAGAACTGTTGGAAACAAAACAGTTTTCATCCCCATCGGAAATCACCGGGCGCCGGCGAGTAATCAGTGGCCGTGACCTGGTGATTGACGGCCGCGACCCCCTACCCGAAAATGCAAAATCACGTGTATATACATGATTTTTCGCACCTGTGCTGCCCTGTAGCAGTATTTATGCTATAGGGTGGTTGGGAAGCCCTTCATATCCAGTTATATTTTGCACATTTACAAAACAGTTTTTAACAGAACTTGTTTTAATATATCTGTTATAAATGCAGAGGTTTTTAGATTTGCCACTAGAGTATGCAGACATTCAGTTGGCAGTCACTCTGCTCTCCATAACAGCTTTTGAGACCAGATGCATTAACCACTTCCTTGGATGGGAAGGTTATATCTCCATCTTCGCTGCGGCGATGACCAAGATATCATTCTTTGCAGCCAGCAAAGCTGAAGCCAGTAAAAGTAATCCAAGTGTCTAAAGAACCACTGGATTACTTTGACAAGAACACCTCCCCCCGCCTTTACCATCCCACTGTGCTAGTGCGCAGTGGGGAATGCATGTGTTGGTTCTGCATGCATGCATAAACGGCAATTACACCACACGTGATGTATCACCACAAACATCACAGTGAGAGCAAAAAAAATTGCGCTTCAAAAACCACTGCATAAATACTGTGTGACAAAAAAATTGCACGACCCACTATTTTATTCTCTAGGGCCTCTGCTTAAGCAAAAAAAAAAAAAATAATAAAAAAAATGTATGTGTGTATGTATGTGTGTGTGTATGTATGTATGTATATGTATGTATGTATATATATATATATATATATATATATATATTATTTAGAAGACTAAACTATACATTTTCTTATTATGATTAAGTTTGCAGATCTCTTTACTAGTTCTTGATGATGAATTGTTACAGACTTGTCTTTGGGAACTGTGTTTTCATCTTAGATTTTACGTGTGTACACAGTCCTGGGTGAAATAAGTAACCGCTATATATTGTTTAGAATGATTAAGTCAATAATTAACACCTCTGAGCTTTTGGGACTTTGAGATTTAGAACATTTTCTTCAGAAGAGTATCTCGAGACTCAATCCTGGCAAATGCCCAAAATCCAGAAACATTATTTCAACAAACTGCTGGAGCTTTAATGTTATTAATAAATATTCTGCATAGTGGTCTGCGTTTAATTTATTTATTTCAGGTACTTATATAGAGCCGTCAATTTACACAATGCTTTACATATATATTGTACAGTCACATCAGTCCCTAACCCTCAAGGGGTGTACAGTCTAAGGTCCCTAACTCACATTCATACATACACATACTAGGGACAATTTAGACAGGAGCCAATTAACCTACCAACATGTCTTTGGAGTGTGGGAGGAAACCGGAGAACATGCAAACTCCAGGCAGGTGGTGCCATGGTTGGGATGCAAACCAGCAACCCTTGTACTGCCAGGCGGAAGTGCTAACCATTTAGCCACTGTGCTGCCCATAATTGGTGATGTTTGCTGTTTCCTTTCTGAACAAGGTTTCCAGCAGATCCTTTGATCGAAGGGGAATATAATAATAGTATAGTAGAAAATAAAGCCTGTCTGTGCAGTTTGATACGAAGAGCAACCAGACCCGATTTGCATATAATTTGAAAATATGTAAGGTTAGTCGAAAAATTAGTCTAGGGAATTCATAAAGAGTGTTGTAGATCCTGTTCAGCTGTCACTCGCTCCTCTGCATGACAGTGTTTGTATGAGCAACCGGTTTGTATACCTGTCAGGTATGTGAACTTGTCGAATGGAGGGTGACAGCACTGAGGCCAGACTGTCCTTGGTGCATGTTTAGTCCCTTGCTAGCTAGGATGCTGTCAGCTGCAAATGACTCATTCCCGGCCCCATTCAGCTGCTGGCTGGCCAGTAGAAAGTAAACATAGGGGTGGGGATGTTGGCTGATGTCATTACCCAAATATGGGCAAATTTGAATATTCACGCCAGCTAGCATCCCCCTTTGTTTACTTTTTACTGTTGTCCAGGGAATCTCCTGAATGGGGCTGAGGATGAATCATCTGGTGCTTGGAAACTGGCAGCTGTCTTAGTAACCATGAGCCCTGTGTAGGAAGCTGTCCCCTTATAGCAGAACTACACTGCATCTGAGCACCACGAGCCAAAAACTCTTTTTAATTCACTTATTTAAAGCAAACTTCACCATCCATCCACGTCTACATGCTTTATTTGGCTGAGATTTCACAT